ATAAAGACTTTAATCGAGTACAAAGTGGTCATGTGGTCAGTCAAGTTTACTCAATTTAGTCAAATTGACTAAACCCGTGTTGAGAGAGTTACTTGCTTCTTTTAAAAATGGATGTATATGATACTTTTTTTTTATTATCCAAATCAGATGAAGAAGGCATTTACCATGGTTTTAGCAATAACAATGATTGATTAGCTTCAGAAAGTTTTGATTTGTAGTGATTATTTACAATCAGGTCTCTCATTTTTACAAATGCTTTCAACACAGTTTGTACTGATGCTTCAGAATTTTGTATGTTGTGGAATTGAAAAGTCTAATATGCAGAGCAGCATAAAGAGCTTAAAAACAGTCTTTAAACAGTGTTTACATTTTTCACATGCTCCCAACTAATTTTTATTTTCACTTTTACAATTATTTATTTCAACAATGATAATCACAATTTAGTTGAGAATGTTTATAAGTAGTGGAAACAACCAAATTAAACACCCACTAATATACTTTGCCTTTGATGCAATTTTAAAACTTTTTGATTGATAGTCATTCTGTCTGTCGGTTGTTACCTAGTTCGAAGTGAGCAAGAGAACTTCAGAATGCTAGGTAAAAATCAAATGTTTTTGTTAAATAAAACTGAAACATTTTACTATATACTGTAATGTCCAATGTTTGAACATATTTTTATATCTATGTTTCTGAAGCTTATTACCCCCTTATGACCAGATTACAAGACAAAGTGACATTAATTAAGTAGAATTCTAAGTAAAAGTTGAAATGTCAGTATGTTTTAAATGCATGTGTTCAGGTTTGGAAAATCATGGAAAATATATTAAAAGAAGGTGGCCATATTATATTTAAAATTCCATACAATTGGATACATTTCAACATATAAATATGATTTAATTGTTTGTATGGTTCAGATAAAAACAAATAGTAAGCTTATTTGATAGCTGTAGATTTTTATTTAATGCTAGACATTGAAATGATATATTTATTTGGGTGCACAAAACTTAGCTTCTATTTCTGGAAATTGACTGTCTTATTCTTGAATGTCATTAGAGGTTTAAAGAACACTGTACTTTATTGAACATGTCAACGTTATTTTGAGATTGTTCTCTGAGAAACCTAGAGTTAAGCACTTTATAACTTTATAGACATCTCACTTTATTACATTTCTTAGAAATTTAACACACTTTGAAATAGTTGAAGTATACTTTTTACATTGTTTAGTTTATGCTATATATGTGTGAAGTATACTTTGTATACATTGTTTAATTTTATGATATATATATGAAGTATACTTTTTTGTACATTGTTTATAGTTTTATGCTGTATATCTGTGAAGTATACTTTCATACATTGTTTAGTTTTATGCTGTATATCTGTGAAGTATACTTTCATACATTGTTTAGTTTTATGCTGTATATGTGTTTAAGCCACTTCATGCCAAATATTTTTTTAAGGCCTCCATTAACTACATTTTTGATTATGATTGTTTTACAGTAGCTGGAATTAAATTACAAACATAGGAGATACAGTAGTAAAAAAAACAACAAAAAACAATTGTCACATAAAGATTTCCACAAAATACTTTTCAGTTTAAGAGTAGACAGATCTTACATGTGGAAAGCTTTGGTAAGCATTACTTAAGCAAGAATGAACTGTGAGTGACAGAATATGCATAGATAACAATAACTGTGGCTCTCTAATTGTTGTTGGTGCAGTTTTCTTTTTATAGAAATCTTTTTTATTCCTAGTTATAGTTATGACATGAAAGTTCACAGTTCTATAAGATATTTGTCACCAGATAATAAGTGTTCTTTTTTGTTGTGACAGTTAATATATGTAGTTCACAGTTCTGTAAGATATTTGTCACCATATAATAATTGTTCCTTTTTTTGTTCTGACAGTTAATATACCAAGTTCACAGTTCTATAAGGTATTTGGCACAATATAATAACTGTTCATTTGTTGTTGTAGTGTTTTTTGTTCTGACAGTTAATATACCAAGTTCACAGTTCTATAAGGTATTTGTCACAAGATAATAACTGTTCCTTTTTTGTTGTGACATTTAATATACCAAGTTCACAGTTCTATAAGGTAGTTGTCACCAGATAATAACTGTTCCTTTGTTGTGGTGGTGTTTTTTGTTGTGACAGTTAATATACCATGTTCGCATTTCTATAAGGTATTTGTCACCAGATAACAACTGTTCAATTTTTGTTGTGGCATTTAATATACCAAGTTCACAGTTCTGTAAGGTATTTGTCACAAGATAATAACTGCTTCTTTTTTGTTGTGGTGTTTTTTTCTGACAGTTAATATTCCAAGTTCACAGTGTGTAATCACTGATTGTAAAGCTATATTTGTTTAAGTACTTTTTATTTTCTAGACAATGAAAAAATACCTCAACCTTTCAATAAGTATAGCGAGTTGTAGCAGTTCAGTCCTTTAAGTAGAAAAATTATTTTTATCCCATTCTGTCTTTAGGGACAACAAGGGACCTATTGATCCATCTCGGCTATCTCATCCTCTAAATTAAACTAGAATCTTAAAGCCAGCCCTTATCATTCATATAGTTATCAAGCTTTCTCTTTTTGATTCTAATCTACTGCCTTCACAACATCTGAAGGCAACACATTCCAGAGGCCAACAACTCTGAAGTAATTATTGTTCTGAAATCTACATTGGGGAAAACTTTTTATTGTACTAAGTGTCCAAATTGTACTCATCAAGAGGTTTTCTGGTGTTTTAAGTGCCAAATCCCACAGAGAATGTTAACTTGACTTCTGATTTATTAGCGTGAATTAGATACAGTAAGTGGCACTGCTACAGTAGTTAGCATGTCACAAGAGTTTGTGTTCCAACTGTAAAACTATTCTTAAATCCTGTATAAATGGGATACTGCAGATTGACTAACACACCATCTCATTTGCAGTACTTAGACAGTGGGAATACCTTGGGTTTATTTTGAAAATCCATAATTGTAACTCTATTTCTTTTATATTTTTCCTAATACCAAATGCCTGTGGGATTCATTCATGCTGGAGGAAATACCTTAATGTGGCACAAGTTCATGACCCTTGACCTAGAGCTAGCCATTAAGATAAATTGTTAAGTACACATGTTTTGTAAATTTTAGTTGTTTATTAAAGCTAATATTTTTGCTGGATCACTATTTAATTTTGTTACATTTTTGATTAAACTTTGTTTTTCATCATCCTCTTTGGTGATGTTTCCAACAATGCCACAGAGTATTGCATGATGTTTTTGTGGGTAAATCAAAAGGTTTAATACCTAAAAACATATGCTAATTAGTGTGCAATATTTTTAAAAATTCCTAAAATGTAAAATCTCCATATAATCATATGATATATAACATTATCTATTGATCTGCAGTTAAGGTTTTGTACTTAACCTATTTATTCTAGCAGAAACTTGTATTAGGACAAGTCATGTTGTACCAGGAAAATTTGATTTTTTTTTTCTGTCCTCATGTCAGTAAACAAGAAAGTATTCTTAACCCTTAAGTACTGGCGTGGGGTCTGTTTGGTCCCCCTACTAAAACATGTATAGCTCCAAGTTTATTAAGTTTGCAAATAGATTTTTTCATCTGGTGACTTTACTTGAAAAAGAATGAAGAATTAAAATCTTTCTTTAAAATCTTTTTAAATAAATTTTTTCTTCCCCATTTGCAATGGCTTGAACTAAATACACATTAAGATTACACTTGTACGTAAGGATTAAGAAAGTGTTAAATAATGCATTTCATTGTTGTTATGGAAATTTGTAATTCTTTAAAATGCTTATAGCATGCAATAGTGTGCCCATATGCATTACACAACACCATTATCTATTTTTCTTGTTTTTTTTTCTGCTGAAAAATTTGATACTTTATGTTTAAATAGTATATTGTAATAATTTGTCTTTCAAGCTTTTGTGGAACAGGAATCCAATGTTATGTAGCCCATTTACTAACATTCTTTTATGTCTGAAGTAATCTTTATACAAGGAAGGAGGAGTTTATAAGCATAGTATTTGTCATCCCAGTGCAATATTATATGCTAGAATAGAAAGTGCATTTTTCCTCTATTTAAACGAGACCACAAAAGTTGATGAATTAGTATAAAAGAAAATGATGTGTCAACCCTGATGGGGGAAAAAAAAAAAAAAAAAAATGAAGTAGCTATCTTATGTTTGAAAGTGGGAGCTATAACAATCAGATTGATTCTGAAATTTGTGTTTATCTCTGCCAGCCAGGTTAGTATGTATGTCTGTGGTGTCTGGATCTGTATACCATAATTATTTATTAAAGCAAAATACCAAGAAGATAATGAATTACTAAAAAGATGCCCCCCCAGTGGCATGTCTGTGGACTTGTACTGCTAGAAACCGGGTTTCGATACCCGTGGTGGGCAGAGCACAGATAGCCCTTTGTGTAGCTTTGTGCTTAATAACAAACTAAAAAGGTATTCAGTTTTAATACATATATTACAGATCATATGTTTTGTCTTAATTGAAGCGTATCAACAGCGAAAAAATTTAGTTAAATCTAAAAAGTGTTTACAGAATTTATTTTTGCTTATTAAAATGGGGAAAAAATTATAATAAATGGTTTAAATAGATTTTAAAATATGCAATATAATACAAATAACAGTATTAACTACATTCAGTATTTTTTCGTTGAGGACTACTGAAAAATTAATCATTTTTTTGTAATATTCTTCTGTTGTTTACAGTTTCTATTTAAAGTGTGTCATACTGAAGAATCATTACCGATGTTGTAAGATTTATGTGCAAGCTCTACAGAGAGCTACTGTTGACAAATTTTCTCATATTTGTTGTTGGACTAATATTTGACTAATTAGATGAGCTAAGGAAGAAGAAAAAAAAATATATATATATACATGTTTATCCATACACTTCGGTGTTTACCAAATGTGGTTTATGATTGCCTATTATATTTTTTCGTTCCTCTTTCAATCTTTACCTTCCCTGCTTTGTAGGATGATAGCGGGAATATGATTTGGATATGCCCAGCCTGTACTAATCCTGATGACGGCAGACCAATGATTGGTTGTGATGAGTGTGACAACTGGTTTCATTGGTAAGAATTGACTTATTAGTCAAGTGTTTTTAATCAACTAGCATTAATCTGTAAGGTATTTTATACTTCCTTGAAAATGTTACTTATATCTCGTTTTTGTTTAATTTATGTACAAAAAATTATTTATACTTTCTTGAATTTATGTATATTTAACATTTCTTCAACACATTAATTTGCTCAACTTTCATTTAGTGTTATTCTTTTGCTAAAGTTTAGTGCTTTAAAGATGTCAAACACTGATGAAAGATGGTGATCTTTTTTGTTAGAGGGTATGTGTGGGGATAGTTGTTCCACCAAAAGATGAATAATGGTGATCTTTTTTGTTAGAGGGTATGTGTGGAGATTGTTGTTCTGCCAAAAGATAAATAATGGTGATCTTTTTTTGTTAGAGGGTATGTGTGGGGATAGTTGTTCACCAAAAGATGAATAATGGTGATCTTTTTTTGTTAGAGGGTATGTGTGGGGATAATTGTTCCACCAAAAGATGAATAATGGTGACCTTTTTTTGTTCGAGGGTATGTGTGGGGATAGTTGTTCTTCCAAAAGATGAATAATGGTGATCTTTTTTGTTAGAGGGTATGTGTGGAGATAGTTGTTTCACCAAAAGATGAATAATGGTGATCTTTTTTTTGTTAGAGGGTATGTGTGGGGATAGTTGTTCTGTTAAATATGAATAATGGTGATCTTTTTTTGTTACAGGGTATGTGTGGGGATAGTTGTTCCACCAAAAGATGAATAATGGTGATCTTTTTTTGTTAGAGGGTATGTGTGGAGATAGTTGTTCTGCCAAAAGATGAATAATGGTGATCCTTTTTTGTTAGAGGGTATGTGTGGGGATAGTTGTTTCACCAAAAGATGAATAATGGTGATCTTTTTTTGTTAGAGGGTATGTGTGGGGATAGTTGTTCCACCAAAAGATGAATAATGGTGATCTTTTTTGTTAGAGGGTATGTGTGGGGATAGTTGTTCAGCCAAAAGATGAATAATGGTGATCCTTTTTTGTTAGAGGGTATGTGTGGGGATAGTTGTTTCACCAAAAGATGAATAATGGTGATCTTTTTTGTTACAGGGTATGTGTGGGGATAGTTGTTCCACCAAAAGATGAAGAACCATGGTATTGTGACCGCTGTATAACGAGGAAACAAGAGGCAGTACCCAAGAAAAAACGGAAAAAGAAAAAATGATTTTGGGGTGCAACCGCAATACAAAGACGAGTTTTTGTTTCTTGATGTTTTAAAGTTTTCTTAATAAAGCCTTCCTGGTGCACTGAGGCATGCCTCTTTCTTTTTATTCAGGCCTATTCCAAACCGTTTGATATAGTATTGATAAATGTAACATACTTCAGGAGCTTGTATTACGCATTGTAGAAAACAGAATCAAGCTATTATTAAATACAGTTATACAATCCGTAAACTAAAATAATAAAGAAATTCTTAAAGATTTCATATCTTTGTATCTTAATACTTCTTTCTATTACATGGATTTTATATTTCACATTTAAAGTTATACTTCGGATAAGATTGAAAAGAAAAATTATTTTCTGAATCTCTCTTTTTTTTCTCATACGAATATATAAGATATCTGCTTAATGATGTCTTAATAATATCAGAAATATCATTTTAAAGTATTTGTGATTAACATACCTATTTTGGATAATATAATCATAGATAAGCATACATTGAATGAAAAAGTTTGAAAATCGAAAACCCTACTATGAATAATTGTAAACGATTATAAGAAAAATCTGAGCATTTAGCCTTAGAGCACCAGAGAAGTTTGCAAAAAAGAAAAAAAAAAAGGGTCATTTTACAAAGAAATATATAGATTATCTTGTATAATCTTATATTCACATGTGGTAAGTTACCTAAATAGGAATAGTATGAGTGGCTTTTTCATGTTGTCCGTGTTTGTTGCTTTCTTCTTACAATGACTTATTTTAACAGACGGATCCACTGAAACTAAATGTTGTGAGGTGAACACAGAACATTGTTGTTCCAGTTTGGTTCTCTTTGCAGCATCTTATAAAAAATAGTTTTTACATGTAAACTTCTTTATTTAACTGAATTCAACAAAATAATACATTCCAGGAAACAGACAATTTTAAAGAAGTTAAATTAACAGAATATGATGTGGTAAAGTGAAACAAAAGTGGTTATTTCAAATTCTTTAGTAACATTAGTCTCGATATTTACATGTATAAACAATATTGATTAATTTAACCATGTAGTTAGGTGAAGTATGATAGAATCTAATCATACATATGAGATCTTTGGTGATACTTTTTATAATAATTAGGTGGATCTTTTGTTACTTTAGATCAGTGGTAGGCAACCTATGACCCGCAGCAATAATTTGGCTGACCCGCCAAAAGTTGGCTTCACCATTGCAACCCGTAAGGGCACAATCATTGTTCAGTTCAAATTTCTCGGCTATGTGAGAAGAACAACGATATTAAAGGAAAGAGTCACGGCTACGGAGAATTTTAAGATCAG